ATCCAGTCCAAAATTACCGCTCAATAACATCTTTTAGTGTGGATTGGCCGCGAATACGACTTGTGTATGCGTCTGTAAGTATTTCGAGCGTTTGCGCTATAGTGCTTCAGGTGATTGTAATCAGAACACGTTGAAATACAGATAAAAGAGTTTTCTAAGCAAAAATCTCGTGTTCGTCATGTGACCCGGACCTGTCCGTGCATGACAACGTCAATCATCATCAAGATAACACGTGATCAGCATGTGAACACCTTCACCCTCATTGGATCACAGTTAGTTGTCATGGTGTTGAGGGCCCAATGACCACTGGGTACTATTGCGCAATTTTTCCATTTTGTGGCGGAGGAAAAAAAGAAGAAAAAAAAAAAAGACGACAAAAAAACAAAGGCATTTTATGACTGGGCTACCACAGGTATCCCAGTAAAAAACAAAGGCATTTTATGACTGGGCTACCACAGGTATCCCAGTAATTAGACCCTGTGAGCAGGGTAACTGGGATAACTGGATGGTACTGGATCCGTGGAATCAAGTGTAGTGATACTACGCTTGTCGGACTAATATACTGAAATAGTGAGCTCAAGTCTGGCCAAGGGCATACACCTGTCTCAAAACATAGACATGCTATGCATGCAAGAGTTATTTTTTCTAGGGTGGGTGGATTACATGAAACATTGTAAGTGGTCTACATTCTTCCAAAAGGAAAGAAGATTATTAACGCGGGAAAGAATGAAAATGTCGAATTACCTCACACACAGGTATTTTGTGGTAGATTATGTGTGTTGTGCGAATAAATGTAACCAAAAATAAACTGTATTTGTGCCACGGATACCTGTTAGTACAAAATGTAGACAGCAGACTGCAGACAGGATACAAAATATAGACTGCAGAGTGGGTAAAAAATGCAGAATGAGAATATGAAGAGTTTTTACGTCTGGTATATGATAACATGTCATCTTACAGCTTACCGAGCGTCACGCAATCGCTTTTCCGCGATCAGCCTTCACGATTATTTGCACTATTGTGGAAAATTCCTGGCCCATTTCTTGATGAAAATCGAGCGTAATATAATTTCAAGCCTTCAACATAGTCTTCTTACTTTGCGTGCGAGTTGGTTTGAGTCTGAGTCACACAACGCGTGACGCGTTCGTGAATTAATCGTTGGCTCTTTCTCGAAACGTGACCTTGGGTCACCTGTGACAAGACAATTGCGTAAACAATACTTGACACAATAACATTATACACAAGAAACACGGGATTTTGGATCATGTATTTATTAAAAAAGAATATCCATACAACTAC